TAAGGGTTGTTTCCTCAACACTACACTAGCTGTTGCGGTTCCTAACAGAACATGGAATTGAGGAGATCAGAGGGGATCGGGTGCAGGAAAAGAATTCTTCCATGGCAGCAGTGAAATCCACCTACAACGTGTAGGCAAAGAGCCAACCAATAGAAGCGATGAAGCCTTAAAGAAGGTCCTGGTCCAATAAGGGGATGAAGAAAACTTTTTTCTTCTCGACTCAGGCTTGGCCGAGGAGGAGGAGGAGAAGAAGTTAGAGTCATTCATGTGAGCAAACATAGAGGTGTTTGCCTGGACGCCATACGAGATGCTTGGCATTGATCCCAAGGTCACTTGCCATAGACTAAATGTAGATAGGACGGCTAAACCTGTCATTCAGCGAGCAAGGAGGCCGATGTTGGTTCATGTAGAGGCAGTAAAGGAGAAAGTAGACAAATTGTTGGAGGCTAGAGCCATTCGGGAGGTAAACTACCCAACTCGGTTGTCAAAACATAGTTGCTGTGAAAAAGAAGAATGGAAAGTGGAGGATCTGCGTGGACTTCACCAGCCTGAATAAGGCTTGTCCCAAAGACAGTTTCCCACTTCCTAAGATCGATCAATTAGTGGATGCCACTTTAGGGCATGGAAGGATGAGCTTCCTGGACGCTTACAAGAGGTACCATCAAATAGCAATGTATTCCCCTGATGAGGAGAAGACTGCATTTATCACCCCAAAAGGGCTGTATTGCTACAGAGTGATGCCTTTTCGGGTTGAAAAATGTAGGAGTAGCCTACCAAAGGTTGGTAACCAAGATGTTCAGACATTTGATTGGCAAAACAGTGAAAGTGTACATTGATGACATGGTCGTGAAGACCAAGGAACCTGAGAATCACCTGGCCGACTTAAAAGCAGCTTTTGATATCCTTAGAACATATCGGCTCCAGCTCAATGCTTTGAAATACGCATTTGGAGTTGGGTCTAGTAAGTTCTTGGGATACTTGGTTACGAAAAGGGGCATTGAGGCAAGCCCAGATCAAATCAAGACTATCTTGACTTGAAAAACCCAACGTCAGCAAAACAAGTGCATATGTTAACAAGAAGGGCTGCGACCCTAAATAGGTTTATAAGCAAAAGTTCAGATAAATGTAAACCATTTTTCAATTTATTGAAGAATGCCACAGATTTTTTATGGACAGAGGAGTGTGAAGTCACCTTGGCCAACTTGAAGAAATACCTAACCACAACTCCAGTTCTATCAAATCCAGTACCTGGAGATGAGCTATTTTTATACTTGGCCATTTTAGAGCACGCAGTAAGTGCAGTGATAATCAGAGAAAAGAAAGGAGAATAAAGGGCAGTGTACTATGTGAGTAAAACCTTAGCAAGTGCAGAGACCAGGTACTTACCCCTGGAAAAGTTAACACTAGCCTTGGTGATGGCTTTAAAGAAACTGAATCATTACTTCCAAGCCCACAAGATTATGGTGTTGACTGAGCACCCCTTGAAGTCCCTGCTGCAACAAGGAGATCTGACAGGCAGGGTAGCCAGATGGGCAGTGGTATTAGGCCAATATGATTTAGAGTTTAAACCTAGAACGACAATCAAAGGCTAGGTTTTGGCCAACTTTGTGGCCGAGTTCACACCCGGTGCCATCCCACGTCGGGCTCTGGTGAGCCGTGGCTTAGGGTGTCCAAGGGAACAAGAAGAGACCCAATTGGGAATGAAAAACCCCACAATAGAGCAGAAGAAAGTAGAAAAATCCAAGCCTTGCAATATTTACATCGGCGACTCCTTCCGCCTGTTTGTTGATGGAAGTTCAAACCGTCAAGGAGCGGAGGTAGGAGTGGTGTTGGTATCACCAGATGGGTGAATATCAGAACAGTCTATTCATTTGGGATTTAAGGCCTCAAACAATGAAGCAGAATTCGAGGCACTAATCGCAGGATTGAAGCTAGCAGCAGCAATGGAAGCCGACGAGGTGGTAGTCTTCTATGACTCCCTACTTATTGTGAACCAGACAACAGACGAATATGCAGCCCGAGATGAAAGAATGATAGCCTATGTCAAAGAAGTTATTAGACCGCTAGCCTTGTTTCAGGATTGTCGACTACAGCAGGTCAGCCGAGATAACAACAGCCATGCCGACGCCTTGGCTAACCTAGCTAGTGTAATGAAATCAGGAGAGGCAAGGACAATAATGGTTGATTATTTGTTAGGCCTAAGTGTGGAACCACTAATCACAGAGTATGAAACAATGTGTATGGAGATGGGTCCAAGTTAAATGGATGCAATAGTGATGTTTCTTAAGGACGACAAGTTACCGGATGATCGCAAAGAGACGCACAAGACCAGACTGAAGTAGGCAAGGTTTAGCCTAACAGCAGAAGGACATCTCTACAGAAGGTCTTTTACTGGCCCCTTTTTGAGGTGTGTGCACCCCTCCTAGGTTGAAGACTTCTTGTATGCAATACATGAATGGGGTATGTGGCAGCCATGCTGGGGGCAGATCACTTACTCATAAGGCCATTACTTAGGGGCATTGGTGACCCTACATGCAGAAGGATGCTGAAGCCTACATCAGAAAGTGTGAGAAATGTCAAAAGTTTGCACCTTTGATACATCAACTAGCAGCAGATTTGAACCCAGTATCCAGCCCTTGGCCATTTGCCCAGTGGGGCATGGATCTTGTTAGACAACTGCCCCAAGCAACTAGGCAAAGGAAGTTTCTGCTGGTAACAACTGATTATTTCACAAAGTAGGTAGAAGCTGAACCCCTTGCGAAGATTCGAGATATTGATGTAAAGAACTTCATATGGAAGAATATCATTACCAAGTTTGGGATCCCAAGGAAAATAATAGATTGCAACTTGAAGTTTTTCTATCATTAGATTTTTGTTTTTTTGAAGTTTATGTCATAATTTTATTAGCCGAGGTAGTAATAAAATTTTACTTTGATGAATTTGAAATTTGTATGAAAGGACTGATCAGTTCCAGGGCGATGTTTCTAAAGTGAAACATGACGAATAACTTAGACTTATTATATGGCAGAGTTGAACTATACTTGCATATAATAGAGTTGAACTAAGTTGGCGATATTTCTAAAGTGAAACATGAGGAATAACTTAGACTTATTATATGGCAGAGTTAAAATATACTTATATATAACAGAGTTGAACTAAGTTGGCGATATTTCTAAAGTGAAACATGACGAATAACTTAGAATTATTATATGGCAGAGTTGAACTATACTTGCATATAATAGAGTTGAACTAAGTTGGCGATGTTTCTAAAGTGAAACATGACGAATAACTTAGACTTATTATATGGCAAAGTTGAATTATACTTGCATATAATAGAGTTGAACTAAGTTGGCGATGTTTCTGAATGAAACATGATGAATAACTTAGACTCATTATATGGCCGAGTTGAATTATACTTGTATATAATGGAGTTGAACTTAGTTGAATTAACCTGGACTTGCCATGTCGGCAGAGTCAAATTGAGAATGGAACTAAGTGTATTTCAGTTAGATTAACAGAGAAACTAAGGTTGAGAACCTCGGCTAGTCTTTGTTTGAATCTGACTTTGGCGAAAGACAATAGACACATGCTTAATGTGAACTTAAGTGAAACTTAGGTTCACAATAAGGGGCAGAGAGCTGGAGAAAGAGAAAAGTTTATGAGCGTGGGAAGACTTCTTGAAATTTTTTAAATTTACAAGCTAGAATTGGCTTAAACACTTGTTGAAATTTTAAGAAAATTTACAAGTTAAAATTAGCTGAGGTAATATTGAAAGAAGTATCTGAGATACATACTGACCGAGATGACCAATCAAGCAGGTTGTCAAAACTTGAAAAGAGCGAAGTCTTGAAAGAAGATAGCATATGAAGGTAAAAAAACAATACTAAATAATACTTGTAAAAATACTTTGGTATTTTTAGAGTGTTAGCCGAGGTATGCCAATGGTTGGCCAAGGAAAGCAGTCAAGGTTTATATCCGAGATATTATATCCTGAAGTTACTATGCAGTTAAGGCATACTTTGAAGAAATACAAAAATATTCTAAGGCATGAAAGACATGAAAGAAAGCAGTGGACATGTATAAAAAGAGCATTCAAACACTTAGCTTAAAGAAACCGTGCATTCATAAACGAAATTGTTTTAAGGACAAGAAGGCACTTCGGCCTGGCCTAGAAGATTACTTGTTCAACTTACAAAAAGCAAAATACAACTAAAGGAAGAAAAAGTACAAAATAAAGAAGAAATATCCTAAGCACTGGGGTTGGTGTGGGACTGCTCAACCTCGGTTGTTGGAGTTTTATCGGCCTCAGTTGCCAGTATTACATTCTTCTCTGCCGCTATCTCGGCATCTATTTCAAGCAAAGTCTGGTCTAAACTCTTTTCGGCGCATTAAACCTCGGAGGTCGGTTTGGGAGAGGCGCCCTTAGAAGCCAAGTCATCATTCTCATCTTCAGTCAAGTCAAGGACTTGCTCATTTAGGGTGGGGGACTTAGCATCAATGGCAGCTTCTTTCTCCTCATCGTCGGCATTACCATCCTCATCGGCTTCGTCTCTAGAATCCTTGGGCTATGGAGGAAAAGGATCTTGGAGTTGATTGATGTCTCGGAGGTCGGAGTCCATTAGAACAAATAATTCATTTAGTGCCACCGTCCAACCGAGGTAATAACCTCTGTTGCAAGCCAGGTTGACTTACTCTTCGTATTGATCTCGGACGGAAGCTTGCCCTTTCTCAAATGCCTTCTCATCGGCCACCTTGACCTCGGTTTCCTTTGAGTCGAGGGCCTTTTGGAGCTTGACCTCTAGCTCAGCTGCTCTGGCTTTGGCAGCCTCAAGATCGGCTTTGGAGGTTGCGGCTTCAGCATCAACCATTTTGGCTTTTTTCTCGGCTTGATTTTGAGCATCTTTGGAAGCCTTGGCTTGATCCAACAAAGCTCGATTGTTGAATTCGGCATGATTGAGCGAGGTGAGGAGTTTGGCAGCTTCCTTAGTCTTCTTTGCCAACTACTTCCTTGCCATCTCAGTCTTGACCGCGTTGAATGAGCATGCTGGATAACCTGTACGAAGTATAACAGATTAGTGAAATTTGACTAAATATAGAAAGACTGTAAAAGAGTAAATAAAGAGGATTACCAAGACTGAGTGCTGCATCATGAGGCCAAAGTTTTCATACACAAAGAGCTCGGCCATGTGATTCATATCCTCGGGTAAAAGCATGGCCGTTGATCGGGCGAAACCGACCTTGACGTCATTAATTGCGTTGTCACCAACTGTCAAGGGTCTGTCCCCCACCATGACTTTGGGAGCCTAGGTCATATTACACGGAAATCTGCGGCCCTCAAGTTGGTCAGACCTCGGCCTTTTAGACGGTTGGAAATCTGATGCATCGGCCTTGGCTGGCCTTTTCTCAGCGGCTGTTTGGTTTTTCTCGACCTTGACTAGTTTTGAGATTGACACAGTGTCCTCAGAGTCAATTTGAGTCACTGTGGCCTTGGCCTTGGCCTTTTTCACTCTTTTCGGCTTTGGTTTTGATTGGGATGGAGAAGATGAGGATTGCACCATCACAACCCCGGGGATATTGGCAAGGAGATCCTCAACGATTGCTGGTTTATGGCCTATTTTGTCGGCAGTGGAAGCAACTGTTACTTTGGTGCCGAAGCGTCTGTTGGAAGGGCGATTGAGGGATTGGTTGGGTCGTAAGCTGATGCCTCAGAATCTCGGCGTTTGCAGCTGCGAGTTCTGCCGGCAGGAGTTGAAATTGGAGCTCAGCGTCGGTGTCGGCGTTGGTGCTAGGATGGAGGAATTAGTTGAGGGGCAGAAGTAGATAGTTGCTCAGCTGGGTCAGAGGTGGAGGCCTAATTTGGCCTTAGAGATGAAGTCGTTGGTAAAGTTAGGGTAGAAAGAGGAGTCTTGGTTTGACGGGGAATGTCGGGCAGGGCCGACTTATAGGTCGGAATATAGTCTAGCAGTAGCGGGGCCTTGCATTTTTTAATTGGCAAGTCCAGTAGTCTTTTAAGGTCTTTACTGGGGAATGAGGTTTTGCGAAAATCTTTTGATGGTTGGGGAAGAGCTGCAGAAACAAAGGAGCAAACATTAATACTAGTATATAAGTTCGATAATCCTTAAACTAAGGTAGAATTGTGGATGACTCAGTTCTTACCATCACCCTCCTTAAACACTCCTCGGCACAGTGGGAAGAGATAAAGATCGCCATCTGATGCAAACTCCTAGTTGCCAGAGACGATCAGATAGTCATCTCCTACACCCTTGTTCGAATATGGGAGGTCTGCTATAAGTTTATAAGCCGGTGGATCGGGTTTGAGGTAACACACGTAGCCTTTGTCAGACTTAAGGCAGCACATAGTGCAACAATACTGAATGTCGGCTAAAGTGATCCTGGCCTCTTCTCGGCGTGCCAGTTCGATTATGCCATTAATAACCCTATATGAGTTAATGGCAATTTACATGGGGTTCAGTTTGTAATAGTGAAAGACTTCATGAAAAAAATTTCTAAAGGGAACCGAAGTCCACACTCTATAAATGCAACTACGGGAAAGGGCATGAGGTTTCCATCAGGCATAATGGAATCTTTCTCCCTAGCTAACCTGATTTGAACGTCAGTTGGGATGGAGAATTCTTGTTGGAAATACTCTAGCTTGGTCGGTGTGTTTACCCTCCACCTAAACGTATCCATGATGTCGGCTTAGTAAAGATTGGTACAAGATTTTAGCAAGGAATGGTTGGTATGGGTTTAAAGACCTCGGCTGACCCCTAAATAGGCACTGGAGCTCGGGGTTTTGCAGATCTAAGGGAAGTTGTTTCAATTCTTCCTAGGTATTTGGTTTCTAGGCAAATCCCAAACCTATGATCTATGCAAATGAACGGGAATTGAAGGCAAAAATCTGGAAATACCACAAGAAAAACAAAAAAAAGAGTATGATTTAGAAATTAAGAAAGTGGCCAAAATCCATGAATAAGGAAAGTCATCAATTTGCAGAACACGAAGTAAAGTGTGCAAAGACCAGAAATAGTGCGCACATTCTTGAATTCAGGAACAAATTGTCATACGTTAGACAGATTCAAGAAATAGAAAATGATTCACGAAGATCAAAACAGAGAGATAGAGACAGACTGGCAACAAATAATATGCACATATGGTAGACTTGGGACAAAATAAAAAATGAGAGACTGGAATTATAGGAAAAGAAATCATGGACTTACTGAATAAGGTTGGAAAGAAGTTCGCCGGAGTCAAACGACGATGTTGACTAGAACCCAACGGTAAGAAACTCCCCGAAAGTAGTACTCAGGTGATCGTAGAAAGCTCGAAAGGACAACAATGGCAGTTTGAGAGAAATTTTATAGACAGAGAAAACTTTGAGAGAGAGCGCGAGGATGAAAATGAAAAGACAGAGAGAGAGAAATTATTTTTGTTAAAAATTCGAAAGGGCGGCAAACCATAATGGAATGCCTTGGACGACGTGTTTGTTAGGCGGCGTGCGTAGAAGCGACACAACCTAATGGCGCGTGTCAAGTACGAACCAATGAAAGAAGGACGCATGGCGGAAACGGTTGAGAAAGTCGTGCGTCACAGCTCATGTGCAGTTAAAACTCTTGGAGTTCTTGATTTAATGAGGCAAAAACCTCGACTAGAGGAATGATCTCGGTTAAGAAACTTAAAAGAACTTGGTCCTTGGTCCTTGGTCCTTGGTCCTTGGCTACTGATAAAGATGGACAATTGATATGAAGCCGATGAGACATGATCTTGGTCGAAGAAAAGATTGAATTCTTGGTTGACATGAAGTCTGGATGAACGATGTAGGTTCCATAACCTCAGGTTGCTGAGGTAATAGAACCTAGGGGGCAGTTATGGGGGCATGTTTCGTGAATGATAGCACGTGGTCAAGGTGACGCTAGAGTGTCAGCCGAGGTGCCACGTGGCCTAGTCCTGGCACCGAGGTGATCTCGGCTAGGCCAAGGTTAACTGCGGAGATATCGGAATCCAAGATGAGCGGATAAGGAACAAGAGTCCTAGAACATGGGAGGACCTCAGTCTGGATAAAAATAAAGCTCTTAGGGACTTTATCTCTATCTAGCTGGGAGTCAAGGATAAGTATTGAACCAAAGTCCATTGAAGCGAGGCTTCTACAGGGATCAGGTTAGTGCTGCCTATAAAGGTAAGGCACCTTTGTGGGTCTAAGGTATGCTTTTTATGTTCTGTCTAGTGAGTTAAGTACTATTGGCTATATTTGAGAGATAATTATTGACTTGATCATCGGAGTGCCCTCGGGTGGACGAACCACCGGCCGATTCTTATCTTTCTATAACAGGTTGTTCGGGCTTAATCTATTCTGCCGGTGCTCTCCTACTGAGATTCGCTGTTTGGTTGTGTGGTCAAAAATCAACACCCACATTTAATAAAATCATAACTGATAAAAAAAAGTCACTTGTTTTAAAGAAATTAAATTTTTTTAACATTCCATCCAAACAAATTGATTGAATGTTAGATTTAATTTTTGAGGGAAATAAAATTTTCAACTCTCTCTCCAATCAATATGATTCAAATAATTTGATTGAATCCCACATATAAGTTTGTAGGTTCTCTTTGAAAAATATTTTCCTATAAATAGCAATAGATTTTCATAATCTCCTCAAACTTCCAATGAGGCTCCTCCTTATGAGAGAAGACTCTTGAAGTAAGAATTTTTAGTCAAAATTTTGAAATGTATATATAAGAAAGAAAGAAAGAAGAGAAGAAGAAAAAAAAAAGTTAAAGACAAAATTTTTTTTTAAAAAAAGGCCAACCCTCAAAACCCGGTCCGGGTCGACGGTTCTACCGATTCGACTACCGGGTCTGTTGGTTTTTCAATTTTACACCGATTTTCTCCTAAGTTCGGGTTTGGAGGGTTTTTCGGACCGAAACAAGGCCCAGTTCTCGGTCTAACAGGTCCGACCGGCTGGTCCAGTCTGGGTTGGTAAACAATGATTGACACCAAAGTCATCACCATAATAATATCATCCCTTGAGTTTAGATCCTCTGTAATGCTATGTGTGTGGGACTATTTGTAGTGCTTTTGCTGAGGTGTGCCACGTCAATAGTGAGAGGAATAAAAGGTTGAGATTGCTTATTCTAAATTAGTGTTGTTTTGCTTTTTTCTTTATTTTTTTTTCTTCATATTTATGAGTGACCTCTCTCCCTCCACTGTTCTGGTGATCCCAACTCCAGCAACCCCCATACATTTCTTCTTTCATCTTTCTATTCTTTTTTCTTTTTATTCTATCTGTTTCTCCATTTACCTCTGCTTTAGCTACTACCAGCACCACCTTCGTACCACTGCCAGCTCCAAACCTAGATCTAGGGTTTTTGCGATCTGTAAACCCTAGATTTAATCCCTACCTCGTTTGCCTGATTTCACACCACCTTAGCCATTGCCATTGCCATTGCCTTCATTGCCTCCAGGTTATGCGATAGAGAGACAGAGAGAGAAAGAGATCGAGTGAAATTAGAGAAGAACAAGGAGTAGGAATGGGAGGAAGGGACTACCGGAGGGGAGTACTGGAGTCGCTGGAGAGCTAAGTTGTAACGGTAATGGTAGGAATTGCCGGAAAGGAGAGGAGGCCATAGAGAAAAGAGCCGGATCTAGGGGTAGGATAGGTAGATGAGGTGGATTTAAAGGTTTGTTGGGGAGAGTGGATAGGTTGCTAGAGGTGGTGTTGATGACAGCCAGGGCAAAAGGGCCAGAGGAGGGAGAAGGGAAGGGGAAGATGAAGAGTTTGGAGGGGGCCGCCAGGAATGGAGGTCGCTGGAAGAGTGGAGACTGCCAGTGCTTTACTACCTTCTTTCTATTCAACGTGTTTTTTTATTTTTGGATATGTGCACTAAAACGACGTCATTTTGTTGTATTACAACAAGCATTGGTGGTGTTTGGTGTAGCTGTTAAAACAGATTATAGATTATAGCTTAACAGATTATAGATTATGACTTTAATCAGAAGCGGTTAATCTGTTTGGTATAGCTGTTGGATTATAGATTTAAGTTACTGAGACCATATCCCGTCTTTCCACACACTTAATGAGAGAGTGTGATGGAAAATTATGTGTAAAGGATGTGTATAAATAGAGAGTGGTGTGTGTAAATAGATGCTCCCCAGAGTCTTACCCATTCTCTCTTTGAACTCCAACTTAATTCCAATTATACCCTTATGTTTTTTGACCCCCAACTCACCGCTGCCCCCCGTAACTGCTCATCAACGGCAGCGGCGACGAGACTCCCTCTTCTTGCCCTCAAATCCAAGCCCAATCTCGTCACGTCCACTCCAGTGTCTCTGTGCAGAAGCTCTGCCGCCTCAACCCCCTGATTTTCGTCTTCCGATTTTGAACTTTTTGCTTCTCCACCGTTGTTGCCATTTTCATGCTCATTAACCCCAGAAGCTCCGATTCACCTCCAAATACATCCAATTTTCCTGTTGCTGTAATTTTACCGTGTTTGGTTGCCGAGAGAATGTTTAAATTTGAGCTAAATTGGCTTCTAATTTGAAGGATCATAAAGGATTTTTTTTTATTTTCCTATATTTTTCTTGGTGACCAAACAGAGGGTTAGGTTTTGTATTTTAAAATAGAGCTCTAGTGAGGTGGAAGAGAGAAAAAGTAGAAAGATAGAGAGAGGAGTGTGGGTCCCATCTTCACATGGGTACCTTCTACGAGTTACATTAGAGCTCTCAAATTAAAACTCTCAAACATTATTAAAATTATTTTTAAAGACATTGTTGGTCTCAAAGTATGCGCAATGCATTAATTTAATTATTCAGATTTTAATTGCATCAATTTAGTCTTTAACTTATTTAATTTGTGTTTAAATGCTTCAAATGTAGTTTCCGTCCAAATTTCTATACATGTTTTTTAAAATGGAAGCAATGGTATTTTCGCCCAAATTTAAAAGATAATTAGTGGGATTAGTTTAATAAACTTTCACTTGAATTGCCAAAACTCGATTTTGGCAGTATATCGTTAACGTTTTAATTAGGACACATCCGATTGAAACTGTAATCCCAATCTCTTTTGAGGGAGCTCCAAAAAAGACTTGGCACTTGTACCATGCATACACATTGAGGATCAAATTGAATTAATTGAAATATCGGTCACCAAAATGAAACCAAATTCATTTAACCTTTAAGTTTTTTGAAAATTGGTGTTTTGGTTTTCGTTTTTTTTTTTTGTTTTTAGTGAATATTTTTAATTTTTTAAATATTTTTTTTACTTTTTTAGATGCATCTTATTTAGGTGTATGTAAAAAGTAAAAAATTTGTGAAAAAATATTTTTTAAAAAATTAATAAATACATAAAAATACAAAAAAAAGTATTGAATTCTTGTATTTTTTTTTCTATTTTTGATATTTAGTGAATTTTCAAACAATTTTTTTTACAATTTTTTTACTTTTTAGGTGTATTTATGTTAGGTGGGCCTAAAAAGTAAAAAAAATTGCTGAAAATATTAAAAAAAATCAAAAAAACACAAAAAATAATAAAGTAGAATTTTTTGAAAATTATTTTTGGAAAAATAGAACCAAGCAAGCTGATAGTATCATCTCTTTTACACTCAAATATATATGAGATTAAATTTATGGACAACCAATGCTTTAACTCCTCTCAATCTGGATGTGCGCAGTGTGGTTCAAACGCTTTGAGAATAAAATTACAAATCAAATAATGGATTAACGGATTGGCAAATCACAATTTGGGCGGTTTTGGAGGGATTGACAGATTGAAGAATATTCTAACTAATTATCAAATATTTGCATAATATATAACGTTAATTTGTATAATATTTTTTAGATATATAATACAGTAATTTTACATAATATGTTTCATATATATAATTATTAATTTGTAATAAATTTTATATCTTAAATCTCTCTCACATTCATTTTTATATTTTTTATTTTATTAGAAGATAAAAAAATATAGGGTAACTTACATTGACACCCAATGAGGTTTATATATAGGGTTTGGTTATGGTGTGCAACTTACACCTTACACCTTATACCTTACACTTACACCTTACACTTACACCTTTTGTAAAAAATTAAACCTTACACTTACACCTTTTTTGAGGTTGCACACCATGTGCAACCCACTTACACCTTACACCTTACACTTACACCTTACACTTACACCTTATACTTATACTTACATCTTACACTTACACTTTTTGTGTAAGTGGCACATGGTGTGCACTTGCACACTTAAGAAAACTCCATGCTATATATATGTGTAGTATCTACTTTAAGCATTAAAGTGCTTTTCAGCAAACACATTATGCAGGAAGCTCTTGCTAAACCTGATTTTGTAAGAGGCAAACATTTAAGAGAGGTTCTATTGTGTTCATTGCCTCAATTTTATTCTACATCCATGCTCTATTTGTTTGGATACAAAATATTTTTATTTTTTAACATTTTGTATAATAGAAATGAAAGTTAGTAAAAAATATTTTTCATGATCAATAAAAAATAAACTTATTTAGCTATAAAATATTTTATATTTTTAAAATATGAAAATAAAATTTCAAATTAAAATCTAACCAATGTGACCACACTTTAAAGGCACATATCCTCCCCTACTACTCCGCCGCTACCATTGCCTTTACCTCCACCTTCTCCTCTACCTTGCTACCACCACAACAAGAAGGCAATTTTTTTTTGACTATTAAGGTCTCGTTTGGGAATAGGTTACTTTAGTAATTTTTAAATTTTTTAACTATAATATGAGGTAAAAAAAATTAGTATGTTTAGAATGATTTTTTTAATTTTTTACGAAAAGATGTGTATAAAGTAGAGAGAAAAGAAAATTTTTAATTTTTTGATATAGGTTATTGGCTTTTTAGTTTTTTTTAATAATTTTTTGACTTTTAAGTTAAAACATTGAAATGCCAAATGAGACCTAAGTAGAATCATATCCCTAGAAGTGGACCTTGTCACGCAGGCTACATTTTATTATGTAGATCTTCTAAGAGACAAAATATTTTAATTGGCAAAAATATCGTTTATTATATATTTAACAACAAAATTTGACATTTAGAAATGAATTCCAATCTTTTTGGGACCAAAATTTGTCTGAAAAAGTAAATTTTTTGACACGGGATTAGACAAGTGATCTCACAAAAATGTACAAATTTATAAAAACTTATGTAATTACTCGAATTTGTATTCAATTTACATATTTAGGGGATATATACGATATGCATTGCATATTGGAGAATTTTCCAAAATACTAGTGTAGTGTTTGACTAGGATTTAACAATCGTTTTATACGTGATAATTTATAATTATGTCATATGATAATGTTGGAATCCACATAATTCTTGTAGTAATTTTTATTCCCTCCTAATAACCATTAGTATATTAATTTTTTAAAATGCAATCAAATATATAAAAAAAAAATTCAAAAAACATCTTTTAAAAAAAAAAAATGTTTCTAAATAATTTTTTCATGTGTTCAGAAATATTTTTCTGCCAAAATGTTCAGCTAAGTTTTTCCTACACAATTTTTATTTTATATATTAAATTATATCCAAAGTGACTAATCAAATGAAAAGAACAGCTAGGTAAAACAAAAGAAAAGAAGAAAATAATGATAGAATATATACTGTTTTGGACGTTTATATAACGACAATGCTACGTAGTTCAAATTTTGTGGCTCAAAAGTGGCTCAAATGGCCAAAACGACGTCGTTTTGAGTACAGAACAACATAAAAAAGACCAAAACGACGTCGTTTTGGCCATTTGAGCCACTTTTGAACCACAAAATTTGAGCTACGAGACATTTTCCGTTATATAAATAGAATATATACCTGTTTTGGACGGTTATATAAATAGAATATATACTATTTTGGACGATCATACATTAAAAATGTTTTGGCGGAATAAACTTGTTTTCAAAACTTTCCACACTTACTTGTTTTTTTGACGAAAAATGTATTTTTATATTTTTTAAAATTAATTTTAAAATTTTAGAGTATAACTTAAAATAAAAAATATATTATAATAGTATATTTTTCAACTCTCTTAGAATGGAGATTATAAATTTAAGACTCAAGTTTTTTTGACAACTAAGTTTCTAAATCAATTTGTGTGTATTTCAACTGATTACAAAATCTTGAAATTTAACAATTAGGCAAACCATAGATGACTTGAATTCGAGACTCTAAATCTTATCCTTAATTTTTTATTGCTCAGCCAACTCTAAAGGGTTGGCAAAGACTCATGTGTGGAGTTATTAGATATGAGTTAGAAAAGGTTCTAACAAGTGAAAAATAATAAACAATAATAATGAAAAACATTCTTAGTCAAGAAAATAAACTTATTTGAATAGTAAATATTTTTTACTTTTAAAAAGTAAAAAATATTTTTCAGTCTAAATTTCTACCAACATTACACCACCATCACCACCAAGTCCTTCTCCACCACCACCCCCACTTCCACTTCCACTTCCACTTCCACTACTCGTCCACCATTAATACAATCATTAATGCATTCATTTCAAATAGAAACTAAACATTGAAAAACACTTTCTGAAATTATTTGGGTTAATTACATATTTGGTTCCCATAGAATAAACTTTGTGTCATTTTGGTTTTTAATTTTTAATTGTATCAATTTGGTCTTCAATGTATAAACACTGTTAAAAGTAAGGGTATATATGTAAACATCAGGGGACTAAAATGACACAACTTATATTTTGAGGACTAAAATGTAATTAACTCAAATTATTTTTAAAAACTTATTATTATTATTATTATTGTAAAATATTTTCAGTTAAAATAAAGGACGGGTTAATTTAGCAATCAATATAAACATCTCATGAGAGTTAACTACCATCTAATTTGTGGAAACTAGTTATTTTAGTTAGTTTTTTAGTTTTTTTATCGAAAAACATACGCACACAAAAATAATAATAATAAAAAAAAAACAGAAAATTGACTTTTGCATAATAGTTTTTTGATTTTTTTTTTAAATTATTTTAGCATGTTCCCAAACATAGTCACTTTTAGGCAAAGAACAAGGTAGAATAAACTAAAAGAGTAATGATACAAACGTTAAAAAATTTAACAAAATTTCTATTTAGTGTCTCAAATAGATGTGAGACTCACTTGGTGATTCTCACACTTACATGAAATATTTAATAAAATTTTTAAAATCTCTAATATTTTTCACCTTAAAATAAGCACCACTTCTAGACCAATAACAAGATACTTCTAGACCAATAACAAGATAGTACGTTCCCAAACGTACCCACTTATTGATGCTACTTTCTTTTTTTTTCAAAATGGGACTCCTTGGTGGTGCTTCATGTTGTTTCTTTTTCAATTTTTTAAGAATCTGACAAAATAATCCACAGCAAGGGTGCAGGACAAAATAGAATATATACTATTTTGG